AAGAAGTAAGTTTACAAATCTTTTATATCTATTGTTATGAAAATCACATCATAATTTAATCACAATTAATTTCTCAAAATGCATCATTGCATTAATCTGCTCTGCAGTATCCGATTCGGTAATTTCATATTGACATGATACTGAAATAAAGAATGCAACAATTTTATATTTTATTAACTGAATTATGTCGCTATGAAAAATGTTTGATAATATTTAATGCAAATATTTTCTGATGCATTCCTTTAGAATGTTCATTGATCAACATTCTTTTGGAATATTTATTAATAAGATTTAAATTGAGATTACATTCGATAAGCGACAAATTTCTAATTAATGAACGATTGAGTTTCAAACGGTTTTGATTAGATTTATATTTACTTTCTATAAATAATAATTAGTTCCAGTAATGTCTTATTAATAGAACAAGTCTAATATAAATGCGGCATACCACACATTTGCATGTGCGAATATAGAATCATAGTATTATTTTTATAGCCTTATGATTTGAATTATTTCTATCTATTATAGCTAAATTATGTAGTAATATATATAACAAAAACAACCTGACTAAAATAACAAATTTTATGAATTCATAACAGTATTTATGCTTCGTTTAATTCAAATATATTATATCTTACTATAAGTAAAAGTGAACTTAATGTAAAGTATATAAGTACACATACCCATTACTCTTTTTATGTATTAATGCAAATTTGATAATATTAACAAAAAAAGAAAAGGAAAGCATTTTTTCTGAAATGTATGTAAATAGGAATCAGTATTTTTTTAACAATTTATCTTTTATCTCATTATTAGCAAAATAACAAAAAAAATCAACACCTTTTACAACTAGCTGATAAGAATAAAAAAGTATATGAATAGTAGCGATTTATTTTGTACGACTTTTTATCACGAAGTTAATTTACACTGAAATTTTAAACAAATCACAACTTTATAAAATGAAGTTCAAAAATACATTATAGAGTAATCTTATTTACATAATTAATATTCGTTTCATTCATAGTGCATATATGAATATATACTCATATGATATGAGTTGATATTTAAATATATAGAACAAAAATCGCCGACTATTGATTACTATTCTTGTAAGTCTTGAAATTTGACAAAATTTTGATCTTTGATTTGATAGTCAAAACTTTATTTAAAATATTATAGGCTTATGAGAAGTGAATTGTTTAAAAAAAAAGTGGCAAGCAAATTTGACCCGTATTTATTTATATATGCATTATGAATGAAACGAATATTAATTATGTAAATAAGATCACTCTACAATGTATTTTTGAACTTCATTTTATAAAGTTGTGATTTGTTTAAAATTTCAGTGTAAATTAACTTCGTGATAAAAATAAGACAATAAGGTTTATACCTTATATATCCTTATTGTGTTGTAAGTTGATATTTAAATATATAGAACAAAAATCGCTGGCTCGAAATTAACATCCGAGCTATGGTTTCTCAGCAAAACTTCTAAAAATGACCCATAAAACCGGAATTGCAAAGTGCGTATGTGTGAATTTTTATAAGCCATATGATAAATAACATTCTTGGATGATGTTTATTTATTTAGCTGCAATCAAAGGATTTCTTAACTTTATTTATTAAAGACGCATTACAAGTACGCTATTGCACAATTAACCCTTTCCATTCGGATGCCGCCGCTCCGGCATAATTTCTTGGGTAATGTTTATATATTTAGCTGTAATTAAGAGATTTCTCAGTTTTCTTTAGAAAAGACGCATTAGAAGTACGGTACGCTATTGCAAACCTAACCCTTTCCACTCGGATGCCGCCGTTACGGCGGTAAAATAAGTATTCATTTCGCAATTAGCGAGTCAAAATTTTGAAAAAAATAATAATGATTAAAATTTTTGACTGTGAATCTAATCTACAAATGGTTCCATCATGATCAGGATTTGCTGACCTCAGCAAGTTTGCAATTGTCACGAGTACCGAGTATCAGGGAATAAAGATAGTAAATATTTCTGAAAAATATTGCAGCTTATTAATAGGTTAATTAATTAATAGGTATTTTATCGTATTTTTTAAACAAAGTTGGCAAAGCGGTAGAATTCACAATAAACACACATATATTCACAATAAATATGTTATACCGGGATAATCTGTAGACGACTGTGGAAATTCCGAATGATCAAATTCATCAAGCGACTGTTATTTAATTTGGCAATTGAAGTATATTTGTACCTCCATTATGTTTTTTTTCTGCATCAATTATAAAAATACGTTTTATTCAAAATTAAATTAAAAATTTTGAAGACAAAATATCACAATTATGGACAAATTTCATGCGATGTTGGCCAAGTGCATCTATGTGCTGGACTAAAAGGTGAATACAAATGCTTCAAATTTGGCAGGCAGATTGCATAGCTACTCCATTGAAACCATATTAAATATTATAAAGATATTTTATCATTTCAGATCTAAAATTCTATCATTACCTAGCGTATTTGCAGTCGTAAAATTGAAATTCATTCCATAAAACTATGTTTATATACTTTAAATAATTGATATAGTTGCAATGGAGGTATATCTATGCTTATATAACTTATCAATTATTTCTAACGATTCAGCAAGCACTAATTTTGAAGACATGCGAGAAAAACACAAGAACTGCCACCGACAGCAATATCAAACCTTTGGCGCGCTCCTTTCAGCAGCCTGATTTGTCTTCTTCAGAGGTGGATCAGCAAACATATAGCATTCTTCGAATGATGATCCTTTCAATCCTGTGAAGGTCGTATGATAGTTGTATATTATCTCGTTGTCCAATTCTTTTTCATCAAATTTATTTGGACTCTTTCTGGCCTCGTTAACAAAAAATTCAGCGAAATACTGAGCAGCCTGAACTGCGTGTAAGGTGTGAGAGATATTCCTGTTGGGGACCCACTCGTAAATGTTCTTCTCTGGATGGAATTGGACGCCGTAGAATGGATACCTGGAATAATCACATAAGGTAAACGATTTGATTTGATTTATATTATTGCCTTAACAGTTATATAAGTATCTACTTTAGTAAAGGACGACGTTGGAATACATTTCCAACTTTAGAATTTGTTCACAAAAATGATGAAAATTCTTCACTTTTTGTAAGTAAAAATTACTTGAAATGTTTTGTTGAACACTTTTTTTGAATATATTATATAATTATTACCTTACAGATTCAATAGAACTAATAAATTCAAGACCATTCCAATCCTTATTCACTGATAAAACATTCCAATCATGGTCGATCTCAAACTTTGTCAGATTCTGCAATTTTTAAGTATTCAATTAAAGCATATCCCAAAAATACCCAAGATAAGTAAAAAAATATTTATTAATCATATACTAAAATGAAAATATTTAATGGTTTTCAAATATGCACATTATCAT